TGATTACGTTAACCAATTCGCGATCTCGCAATCTCGAATCTCGCGTCGTCGAAATTTAATGAAAATTTGAATGAAAATGTGCGGCGATCAATCAAATTTTCTATCTCGACGCGTTCCTTTCTTTCTCTCTTCTTAGAGATTCTAACCGTGTAAATTGTAGCGGCGGTATAAAACTGAAGGAAAGATTTGTTCTACTAAGAACAATCGCGCGTTTTTCTTATTTATCGAGATCGAATCACGTGGATGAACCGCAACTGGTAACTTCGCAACTGGTAATGCAGTTATCCATGGCTTGCCCGATTTTCAGATCGAATGTACCCGAGATACAATCCACCAGAATACAATCGCTCGTTTTCCCCGTTACCTTAAAAAAGCACAGCGCCGAAAATTGACGATTGTTCGCAAAGGTTGCGAAAAGACGGAGAGAAAGGAAAGAAACGGAAGGTGGAAAAGCGGATTTTTTGGGAAACGGTGGTAGGATCACGTGTGCAAGACGGAGTGGAATCAAAGGCGGGCCGAACGTATTTTCGAGGCCTGTGTTCATCGTCTGTGTGCCCACGTGGCCCGTGAAAACTGCTTTTAACTCGTCCCAGTTCACGAGACTCTTGCGAAAGGAAGAACGAAATCCAGAGGACGTCCGGCGTCCGGCGCCCGGAATCGAGCGAAACTCGGAATGGCTTTTTGCGGTTCCGTAGGTGGCAAGATGAAAGGCGAGTTATTTGTCTTTTGTCGGTGGACGACAAAGCCCGCTCGCCACTCCCCTCCTCCCTGCTCCTCGGCCCAGAACTCTCCTCCTCGGTTCTTCCTCTTATCCCCTCGAATCGAAAGGGGAATCCTCGCCCCCTTTCCCTCGGGGCTCGAGTCCCTTTGTGTAAAGGTTATCAACGAGGATCTATCTCCACGGCGAAGGGATCCACCATCCTTTAAGTATCTTACTTCCTGATAAGACGTTCGAGTTCGAGGCGGAGAAATTAAGACGTCGAGCGCCACGACGTTGAATACGACCGATAATTTTCTATCGCTCGGAGAAAGAAGGGGGAAGGTCGAGCGGTAATAAGGAGATTATATTTTTATTCCCTGCGAGCGAGGAGGAGGGGGAATTTAGAAGGATTGGTCGCCGTTTCCGATGCGGAACGTTCATTGATATAATTATTCGATAAATAATTGGATATCGAGTGATAAATAATTCAGCGATCGAAATCCAAGCGGAATGGATGCATTGAAATGCACGCGGTGGAGCAGACGCGCGCAGATTGCATTAATAAACTCGATGTTTGCAGGAGGAACACGTCGGCCATAGTCGAATCGCGAAACTCGGCTAAACGCCTCTTGGTAACTTCGCCTTTCACAACCAAGTACTTACTTGATTAAGATCCTGGGATAATTTCAGGAACGGTGGTGGAAATACGGGATTCGGGAGGAGGGAGGGAAAGAAGTTGCACGAGTTAAAGAGTTTAGCGCGAGTACGATGAGAAAGTAATGAAAGGAAAATCTGCTGGAAATGAAACTACGGCCGACAATTTCAAAATGTAAACAGTGCGGAGATGGAACGAGAATGTACGTCGTGGAGAATTGTTTTCTTATGCCATAGCTTCCTTTTCCTTTTTTTTTCTCTATATTCTCCATAAAAATATTCCCTCCATGTTTCACGATCCAACTTATTGTAAAATTACTAACAAATAAAAAATTAAAAAACTTTGTTTGAAAAATAACTATAATATAATATACTTACTTGCCCGATCAACGGTTGATCCGTACTACTACTACGTCCCATCACGAACGTCGGATTATTCCATTTGCGCGACGAAAATATATGCTCGCCGACCACTTGTCCGACCAATAATTCGATTTCACCGGCAATACGAAAAGTAATTCCGTTTAAGGCCGCGATAAATGGCCCCCAAATCCACCTCCCCCACGATCTACCTATCAGGCTCGGTAACCTCCTCGAGGTAGCCGAGTAATCGCGTTTCCGCTCGAAGCAATGAAGAGGGGGAGGGGTCGCTACTTAAGCGCGGCAAGCAATTTAATTTCGCTGGAACAAAGTGGAGAGTGGATCGGGAGTGGGAGTGAACCGGCGCATTATTGCAGTGGCCGCAACACAATGCACCCACGGACCGCTTTTTCGACGCAGCCAACGCGTGCATCACCGGGCTATTCGGGGCTAAACCGAGCGTCATCCCCTTTGAGCCGGGTCTCGCGAGAGTTGCCACGCGGTTTATTGGCTCACTGCGTGCCATTAAACGGTGGAATTCGGTTTGGGGAGGCGAGGAATCGGTATGCGACAGCTTTCCCCATTAGAAAGACCTTGGGCAGAAGGTAAAGGTAGGGAGATGATGAGAGGGAACAAAAGGTGTGCGATTGATCCGTTCCGACTGTTAAAAGGCGTGTTTAATGAGTTGAACGTGATTGGGGGAGGGGATCGGTGTTTTCTTAATTGATATTACGTCCCCTAGGGACCCCTAGGAAATTATCGGTGGAACGAGCTCAAAATGTTACCCCTTGCTGATAGCTATTCCAGTAGATTTTATTACGAAATCTTCATTTAATTTTCCTTATCAAGATAGGTTCTTCCGTTAAGTTCTTCTTGTTTCGTTGATGTATTATAACGGAGTATCGTGAATAGCGAATCTTAGGGATAATTAAAATTGAAAGAGGGGAAGAGGAAAGAGTTAGTTAAAAAACGATAAAAGATGGAAATTCGCGTTTCTGGATCCGGATGCTTTTTCAGTTCAAGATTATATAAGGATAATTTTATAAATATTCGTTTCATCCGGTTCTAATTAGTTTAATAAAACTGGGATCGGTTCGATGAAAAATACATTGGCCGTGAAATGTACAAGTTCCGGGTGGTGGAGAAAGCGAGACGAAATTAAAAATAGGAGAGGCTGAAATGAAAATCGTGACGTGGATTTTTCACGACAATTCATTCAACGCCCGAGATATACGTAAATATCGATCTTCGTGTCTTGAATATTTTAAACGACGCGTTTTGACATTTCTCTTTAAAATGACCGGAAAGATAAAAATTTCGGAAGACGAAAATTTCGTTAAATCTTTGGATTGAAAGTGAAGCCGTCCACGGTTATTCAAGCGCTCGGAGCGACGAACTGTCCCAGACTCTATATTTTCTGAAGCGTGAGGCGAAGCTTGAATCCCCTTTGCCAACCATCCCTCGTCCCTTCGCTGCAAGCCTCTGTTCAACCCTGGCTGCAACTTTTCTATAGGAGCAGACATACGGTCAACATCGGTCTTTGTTTCGTCGAGGGTCGTTCACGTGCCGCTTTCTTTAACGCTTCCTTCCTTCCTTCCTTCGTTCCTCCTGGACGTTGATATTGTCGCTCGAATAGGGGTCGGTGTTCCACGATAGGAAATAGGCGAACTACTCAAATTCCTTCCTTTCTTCTCTTTTTCTGAAATCGATCGAGCATCGAGTGTTATTTAATCTCAAGTTCGCTTTTTATTTCGTATTTCACCCTGTTTACAATTCATCTTTTGTTCGTTGATGATATCATCTTGTATATATCGATAAAATATATCGACGGATAAAGTAAATACCGATGTAAAATAATTTACGATTCGAAAGAATACAGGTGGAATCTTATGATTGGCTCTCGTATCCACTCTCGTACCAATCTCCTCTCTTACGATTCACCACTTCACTTTATATCTCGCAATATATTCCGTACAATTCGTCTTTCGTTTATTGATAATCTTATGATGTATAACATACAATGTAATTTCATTCACGATTCATAGGAATAATACATAGTCGGTTTTACGATTGACTTCTTATCTCCTCTCTTCATAGTCACCATACCATCGCTTGGTATAAACGCAGAAATGAAGAAAACGTGATGATAAAAATTGCCATCATTTACATTATTCATACTCGCGATCCAGAATAACAAAGCTCATCTTATTCGATACTACTTGTTTACGTTGCAACGTATAAATCCTTTCCGATTTACAAATATACGTGTATATACACATACATATATACACGCATCGATCGATGTTTATTTTTTAGCGAAAAAGAAAATCGTGGAAAACGCAACAAATTTGCAATAACAATATTTTCCCGCAGACTTTCGAAGCCCGACAACAATTCTTCCGATAGGTATCGATTCGACCAGCAATTTCCGCGCCATAGAGAAAAAAAAAAATCGACGCGAGAACGCATTTGGGGGGCGGCGTCCAATCGGAGGGCGCGCCCGTCCCCGCAAAACAGCCAGCCTCTAATCAAAAAGCGTGTCGGTTGAGCGCGGGTCAGCGCGTTTTCTCGTTACATTCCGTCGGCGAGGCGCGATTCGCGGCCGCGAAATCGACACGTGTCGCGGTGGTGGTTCGCTGCGCCTCGAGTGTCGCGGCTGTCACGCGGAACCACGCGACAATGGCGGAAGAAGCATTAGCGACCCGTCACATCCGCAACATTCCCTCGCCAAGCTTAATTCTCCCAATGTCGCGTCTCTTCTTCTCTCTCTCTCTCTCTCCATATTCCCTCCACTTTTCTCCCTTGTTCCCTTCTCTTCTCTCGGACGTAAATCGGTGACAGAAGACATCTTCGTCCGGGAAAAATCGTCTTCTCCTTCGTCGCGTCATTCCTCGCTCGAGGCTCTGGCTTCGGATGAGAAACACGAATTTGAACACGAATAGAAGGTTCGCTCTGCAACTGTTTTCCTTTCGCGATCGTTTGCCAAACATTGGCCGGCGACTAGCGAGTTGTTGATACAACAAACTTCGAGTGTCGATTTTGTAAAAAATAATAATAAAGAAAGGAAATAAATAAATAACTCGAAACATAGCGTAAATTGGAGAAACACAGGAGGAATATAAATTTGGAAAAAGCAGGGGGTCGGGCTTGAGAGGTACGAGGAGGTACTTTTTCGGGGGAAATTTAAAAAAAGATCGTGGTTTAGCCGGCTACTTTTCACCGAGGAGGAGGTTTTATTTTTTTTTTTATTCGAGAAGATGGTGAAAGAATACCTTTTTCTTCGCAGGGATGGCGGACAACAACGGTAGAAAGCATCCGGTGTTGCTGTACATCCACGGGGAGAGCTACGACTGGGGTAGCGGAAATCCGTACGATGGCAGCGTGCTGGCCAGCTACACCGACCAAGTAATCGTGACGATGAACTACCGGTTGGGCGTGCTCGGCTTTCTCAACGCCAACATGGCGCCCCAGACCAAGGCGAGGGTCGCGAATTACGGGCTGATGGATCAGATCGCGGCGCTCCAATGGGTCAACGAGCACATCGCCCTGTTTGGCGGCGATCCCAACAACGTGACGCTGATGGGCCAAGGGACTGGGGCCGCCTGTGTTCATTTTCTCGCCATCAGCCCGACCGTCGTGCGTGGTCAGTCGCTTTTTCCTTCCTTCCTTTCTCCCTCCTCGCGAGAAACTCGCCAAGGATCGCGGAGATTTTTAACTTTACGCTTCATCTCTTCCCCAACTTTTTTTCTTTTTCATTTTTTTCTTCTTCATTCTTTATTTTGGAAAAGAGTTTAATTGAGGAATGTTTTTAGAATGTTTAGTTTATGTTCGGTTGATGATAAAAATAGGTAGAACGACAAATGCATTTCCTGCGCGGTTTACCTGTTACATTTAACTGTAACATAAGTAACGGTAAGTATTATCGTGAAAATCTTCGTAGAAAATGGTTATTTGAATGGAATTTTAGTACAGAGTTAGTAAAGAGTATCTGACAATCTTTGATTTGCGAAGGCAGAAAATTAATTGAAGACAGGAAGATGGAAAATAAAAATTGGAAAATCTTAAAAGTCGATCAGATTAATTTTAATATCAATTTTCTGCTCGTCGGAAGGAATCGGATCCGGGAAGGAAACTCTCGAAAAGTCCATAGATCAACAGAAAATCAAACTCGCCAAGAATACGTTTAATTTCGTCATTTCTTTCTTTCTCGGCCTCGGGTTTGAAGTTTATTCGATCGACTGTGACTTTCGCCAAGTAATCTCGACGAATCTCGAGGAAGTTCGGGAAGTTTTTCGCGTAACACGATAAAAATCCGGTTCCGCATTCGACTAAGAGCCGCCCAACTATTTTTAAATCTCTTATAAAGTTCCACTCGGTTAGATTAAATTTTGCTCGTCCCTTCTGTTTCGTACCTTCTGTTCCGTTTCCCGGGACAATTAACCTGGGATTGATAATAGTCGAGTCGTGTGCAGGAAAGAAAGAATCGTTATGCCATAAATAACGAGATGGCGACCGGTCGTCAAGACTCTTCTCTCTCAATGGAGGGATCCGATATTTCTCCGTGATTCCTTCGATCCGTGGAACGAACCGCTAACGAGACTCTCGAGGAGAATTCAGAAGGAAACGAGCTTATGTGTATCGAGGTGATTTCTGATCGACGTCTCTCGAGGTCCAATCTCTCTCGAAAATCGATTCTTCTTAATCGCCCGATTCCCGATAAATTAAAAAGGAAAAAAGAGAATCGAATCATCGATTTGATATTCCTCTCGGGAAAGAAGTCTCGTTAGAAGGATTAATTTTCAAAACCACGATGATGATCTTATCGCTAGATCAGATACTGTATCCGTGAACCGAATGGAAACAGGGTTAAATTCACTTCAAGGTCTTGGAAAAAAAAAAA